GCCGGGAAAGATTAGTCGAAGCAAGTCCTACTCTCGGGGGACGATGACACGTGGCAGGAGGGTGGGGCTTATCAATCCGTCAGGCCCCCTCTCGTCGCTTAACTTTTAGTTCATTCACAACAACGTACACACACGTGGAAGGAGTTTCAGTTCGTTCGCTTATCTGTGATGGCCGTCAACTATCACGACGACTTGGCGATGCCTGCAACCACAACGACTTGTTGGAGTGGCGGGGGTGATTACGATCGTTAAGAAGACGAGGTCGAGATTGAATACGATGCTAATCATCACATTTCCCGCCGGGCGAAGCCACGGAAACAGAATGAGGTGGAGGGAAGCGTGCGTAAACTTTTCGGTCAATATGATTTATTGCCGCATGTAGTGTGTAAGGTGCATAGAGCTGATTGCTACGGATGAGAGATGAGGGGAACACGATTGGTGACAAATACGGATGGTTGCTACGAACGGAAAGGAACGTACTTTGACCGGCAGTTTTGACCACTTTCTCGTACTCCTCCTCCTTTATGCTCGCAGCCATAGCCGTGAAGAGATCCTCCAGGGCTGGAGCCTGCGCCCCCTTGCCACCCGCCGCCGCCGCCGCCGCCATGGCGGCACAACCTGGGTAACCTCGATCGGCTGCTATCGGCTATGGCCGAATCTCCACCCCAGTGCCTCACGCGGACAGGCAGGCAACCTAGAACAGTATCGCTGTACAGCTTTCTCCTTTGTCGTTCTGAAAAAGGAACCCCGCGCTTTGTTGCCGGCCCAAAAGATAGCCGAATCAGTGCAGGGCGCGCGCCCAGGGCACCATAGTCAGGAACTCTGCGGCCCGGTTTTCCAGGTCAAAGGCGCTACCGGGTACATCGGCGCAAACGCGAAAACAGGGCCGTAGATTCGAACAACCTGTGGCTGCGATGACGTGGCTTGGTCAAAGTCTCCAAGCACGGTCATTGCAGACGGCAATCCCATAAACAAGATGGGGCTCGGTGCACTACTCTTTTCTTGAGTGCGGCATGGCTGCACTTACTCGGGAAATGGGCCCTCGAAAATCTGTTCTAGAGCTGTCAGAAAGACTCTAGAAAAGTAATAGAGTCGCCATGGCTCCACTTACTTGATAAGGTCGCTCTAGATTTTTCATCTCTTGAGCTGTCAGAGCGGTCCTCACTCTAGATTGATCTAGAGCGCCAGTTTCACTCTAGATTGATCTAGAGCACCAGTCTCACTCTAGATTGATCTAGAGCACCAGCCTGCGAAGGCCATTTTTTTTAGGGAGGTCCGGAGGATCCTTGAAATGCCTTGGTTTTCCTTCAGTGGGCCTCGAGTATAGACGGACAACCCAGGTGGCCCGCCGCTGTCCTGTAGTGAAATGGCCGAACTCAGGACGTGACGGAGCAACTCTAGCTTTTCTAGAGTCTAAAGCTAGTGCAGCGATGCCTAGATGTTAGGACTTTCCATAACTTTGACAGCTCTAGAATGACTCTAGAAAAATTTCACGAGTCTAGAGTAGTGCAGCGAGCCCCAATGCGTAAATAGAAACTGAACCCAACCAGAGGGCTAGCTCAGTTGGTAAGGTATGAAAGTGGCATTCAGGACGTCTTAGGTTCAATCCTCGTCGGCCTCATGTACCTTCCTGGGCAACCTTGGCCCCCGCCATCTAGAGATAGGTAGTTGGTCCTCCCAAGCAGCATTGAGCAACAACTGCTGATGTTCGTAGGGGAAGGGGACTGTAAGGGAGGCACAACTACTGGCCCATCAAAATCATGATCCTGCAGCTCCCGCATGTCCCCTTGTTGAACTCTAATGTGGCTGCTACGGGGTTACCTGAGGCCATTCAGTAGGACGATGACATGTCCAGGCAAAATTGTTGAAACGCCCCTAAAACTTGGGGTATTTCATGGGATACCCCCGAAACGCAGGGGTATCACGAAATGCCCCTTAACTATGCATATGCCATTGTCCCAGCTATGGGCAACTTTGCCACATGGACCTGGTTGTGGACTGTTGGGGTCGGCGCACTCTCTTTCGCCATTTGCGCCTACACCCGACAGGCAGGTTCTCTGCCTACCCCACAACCAAATCTCTCTCTCTCTCTCTCTCTCTCTCTCTCTCTCTCTCTCTCTCTCTCTCTCTCTCTCTCTCTCTCTCTCTCTCTCTCTCTTTGAATGCAAGATGGCGACACACTTATTTTTAATTGAGATGCATGGCACTGATAGGGGAATACGAAAAAATTACCATCAATGACTAACAATGGGACATTTGCAAAAGGTTTCATAAATCCCAATATAAGCATATGCAAAAGTTGTCAGGTCTAATATATGAGTGGGGTATTTTAAGAAGTCCCGTCATTGCGACGAGGGCATCTCATCATATCACTATGTCTTAGGGGTATCTGACAAAATACTTCAACTTTTATAGACATTTCAATCATTTTTCCTAATGAAGTAGAGAGAGAATCATTCAAATTGAAGTTGAATACTAGTCCTTACATGGAGTGAGGGTATGTACCGAAAGACACCCCCACCAACCCCAACGCCTTAGTTCGATTTCTCCTCATTTCCCAAAATAACCAGCCAACAATGCCTTGAAGATCGTAGATTTGTAAACCACCTTTTAGTCTTTTACCCAAAGCAAATGTAGCTCGATACCATAGTTTACACTTAGAAAAAATCCTCAATTCATTTTAAACATGATTTCCCCACATTCTCACGGTGTTCTTCTGTAAGGTATGCATACACGCTAGACACAAATGTGGCTCCCTCTAGAGACCGCAAAGGTGCAGGTACACAAAGGGTGCAAATACACAGTTCAGAGGTTAGAAAAAGTTGTATGGGCAAAATAAGGTTTAATGCGTTCGTGGTCGACAGGTAAACCTGGGCTTGAGGGTCTAAGAGTTGGAGGAAGGAAATGACATGAGAGGAAAGGAGTTTGGATTTAAAAAAACATATGCACTAAGGATAAATGAATCAAAAATTTGAATGTTTTCGTGAGAGAGATAAAGGAAATAACGTTTATAAATAATTATACAAGTAAATTATTCACCATCAATTTATTTGAAGTAATTGATTATGCACAAATATTTGCATATTATAATTTGGTTGATTGATAATTTGTATTTAAAGCGTACGGGTATTTTTATCACATTTGATAAAACATATTTTAATACTTCCGTAAAGAAAAACATTACGAAAAAAATAAAGCACCAACTCTAAATGGCATGCCCAATAGTGAAAATGATGTAACATTTGTTGGACAAGTTACGACGATGAATTGCACTTGAAACCAAATGGTTTTACGAACTTTTACCATAAAATAATGTGATCATTCATGCATATTGTTTAAATTGTTGTGAATGTAGTTTCAAGACTAACCAATTTTATACGAAAAAGCAAGCAATGTTTTGCCAAATAGGGACTAAAAAATGTAATAATAAATTAAAGGATATACTAAACGGGTCCGAGACAGTAAATACCAGCCTCCCAAAAAAGTCACGGGGCGTTGGGGACTTCGCCCATACGCCCGATCCTCTCGAGATACGAGCATGTCAACTTGAGGATTAAGAGTTGAAATGGGTTGGCGGGAAATCATCAATAGGTAAAATATGAGTAACCTTGCAAAGTGAGGAGAAAGAAGGTGGACTAAACTTGAGAGAAGGGAAAAAGAGGAGGGGGCATGGTTGATTATCAGACTCTCTACTAAGTATGAGATATTTTCTAAGGTGTATTGAAGTACATACTTGCAAAAAAAGAGGGGGGGTAGAAAAGACTCGAGCGACAAAGGGATGAAGGGGAGATCCAAACAAGGTAGGGATGAGGGAGAGCACGGGGGGCTCTATTAGTATTAGGCATATGATCATGATTAGTACGATAGTGCAAGTTGTGTGTATTGGTACCGTTGAGTGATAATGATTGTCGGATGCAACTTTCTAAAGGGGAGCAAGTTGAAACAGGAGGAGGAGGGAAGCGGGGGGGGGGGGGTACGATTCATTTTTTAACTCTTTATTAGATGTGAAATACTTTCTTTGGTTTGTTTAAATTACATACAGGTGAGGGGGGGGATAAGGAAGACCTGGGGGATAAAGTGACCGGGAGGAGGTCGGGGAAAGGTAGGGTTGAGATAGGAGGGGGAGGTTTATATTGGTAATAGGTGCATGACCAAGACTAGTACAAAAGTGTGAGTTGTCTGCAATAGTACCATTAAGTGATGGTGAGTGTAAGACATAGATTTCCAAAAGTGGGCAAGGGACAAATGGTGGCTTATAACCCAATTCACACCTCCAAAGGAGTGTCGGGGCGATAGAGTGCATAATCGCCCCTCAACACTACCCCCCTTTAAAGATGGTGGGTGCGAGTTTAACCTACCCCTCATCCTCACACATGTAGGTCCGTTGTTGTCAAACTCGAGCCGACCACCCGAACTCGAACGCCCGAACGTTTAGGACCCCCTTTCGACACGTTTGGCCGTTCAGCGGACAAAAAATAAATACATAAATAAATAAAATTAAAAATTAAAAAAAAATCAAAAAAAAAAATGTTATGCAGAACAATAAACTGAACAACATTTGCCTCAACGTTATATCCAAATTCTTTATCAACTTTGAAATAAAAATCAAATACAAAAACTAAATAATAATAATGAAAATTAAAAAAAATAAAACGAGAATGAAATTATTGAGTAATTATTGAGTGGGCGAGCACGTTTTTGACACCACCATCTTTTGTGATTTTTTTTTTTTTTTGGGCCTACGACAAATGTCATGAAACTTTATATATGTGTATCTTACATAATAGACAAGATACAAATAAGGTTTCAAAAAATAATATATTTTTCCATGTCCCCAAATAAAGGAAAAACATGAAGTGAAAAAAGGAAAAAAACAAATTAAAGAGTGGGCCGACAATTTTTGACACAACCATCTTTGAGGAAGATACTTTACATTACAAAGAACTTTTAAAAAACAATTTAGAAAAACATAGTGATATTTAAGTGCTAATTTTTTTTTTTGTGGGGTACGAACCCCTTCAGGTTCGGGCCCAGTACGGGGACTCGAACGCCCAAACGTTCGAGGGGCAACTTAGGGGCCTCCGTGCGTTCGGCGAGCATGTTTTGACACCGCCATCTTTGGCGATTTTTAACTTTTGTTTAGCTTAGCAAAATTATTTTAAAGTTTAGACGCATATACCTCGTATCATAAATAACTCACATAAATTAAGAAAAAAAAAAAACAACGTATTTTTATGCCCTTAAATATTTTTTGGCACGGGCCGAACACCTTCGGGTTCGGACTCTGAACGAGACCCTGAACGCCCGTACGTATGGAGGTCGGCCTGGGATGTCTGTACGTACGGTCTGGTGACCCTGTATAAATATATATTATGAATTTTCTTATGTGAGTTTTCTATGATGCGAAGGTACATGCCTATAAATTTTGAAGTAATTTTGCTAAGGCACCGAAAATTTTAAAATTGCCAAATATGACAGTGTCAACATGTGCTCGCCCACTCACTATTTTTTGTTTATTTTTTTACTTTTTGTTTTCACTTCATTGCGGGGCCTAAACAATTTTATTATTTTTTGAAACTTTTTTAATGCGTTTTGTATTATGTGAAGTACACATCTGTAAATTTTCAAGGCATTTGGTTGTGCCAAAAACAAATGAAAAATTATCAAAGATGGCGGTGTCGAAAACGTGCTCCCTCACTCACTAATTTTATTTATTTATTTATTTTCTGTATTTTATTCTATTTCAAATTTGGTAGGGAATTTTGATGTTATGCTAAGGCAAATGTTGTTTATTTTATTTTTCTCCATAACATTTTTTTTTCATATTTTGTTTAGGTTACCAGAGTGG